TGGGACTCATCCTCACTGCCATGCTCAGAGTCCAGACTGGGGGGTGACAGGAGACCCCCAGCTGCACCAGGCTTGTCACAGGACTGGGACAGAAGATGCCCCACAGACTCACCACGGTGTGGGAGAAGGTTTTCCTTGTGTGGGACTGCTCAGGGACCGGGGAACAGCGAGGTCACCCCCTAAGCCAGGGGATTGCAAGGCTGCAGGGTCAGGTGGCAGTGAAGTGGTGAAGGGCCATGGGACATGTCCTGAGGAATGGTCCCCGTGCTGTTTCTCCTGCAGACCATCCAGCAGCTCTCACCCCTCCTGAGCTGCCAGAGGAACCCAGCCAGCCCCACCTGCTCTGTGGATTGGTGGCAGTGCAGTGGAAACTCCTGGGGTGCTTCTCTAAGAGCCGATGCCTTCTGCAGCCCTGGGGTGAATTTCCTCACCCTGCTGCATCTGTGAACAAGTTCCATCAAACCTGAGGGATGCCCCGAGATGGAAAGGGGCCAGAATTTGGATAATCATCACAGCCCAGCCTGGGATAATCAGCACAGCCCTAGGCCAGACCCCAGGTATTCCCAGGGACTGAGAGACCTCTCCCAGCTCATCTGCCCCACTGATCTTCACCCCATTGCATCAGCCCCACCAGGGCACCCCCATTTCCCACTGCTGGCAGGTTAGAGGCTTCCCATCCCTCTGGGATGTGCTGCTCCATGTCCTGCAGCCTCATCCTGGGAACCCCAAACTCCAGAGGCCCCCTTGGGCCTGGTGCAGCTCAGGAGGTGCCCATGCCAGCCCCTCCATCTGTGGGCATGGGACTCACCCTCCCCACTTGGCTACAGAGAGCAAATCCATTGGAAGCAGCTCTGGGGCTGGATGCCAAGGCAGGACAATTACCCCAAAATGCAAGAAATACCTCCCACTTCTAGAAGTATCATGGCCAGTTTGTTTTTCTCTGCTTGAATACTTTGGGGAGGTCTGAAATGTTTGCAGAAGGTGCCAAAGTTAAGGGCCCCCAAAAGCCAACAGGCCCTTTAGGAACAGCATAGGCTCCTGCCTCATGCCTCTGGCACATGGAAAAGGCTTTATTAAATAAGGAGGAATTCCCTACTTTGGGATAGTGGAAAGACATTATTGAAATGGAGCTAGCTGCTGAAGCTTTCAATGGCTTTGCCAGTGACACATGAAACCTTCCCAGAGTTGATCCTCTGGGCTCTTCTCACCAGGAGGGGGATTTGGGCTGTTCTGTGCCACGGGCAGCCATGGCTCAGCAGAGACAGCAGTTTGAATATCGCAAAGTCCAGGCTGGTTTCCAGCCTAAGGCAAAATATTCTACATAAGCAAAAAAAGACTATTCCAAATAATCCAAAATTTCTGGCCCAGGCAGGGACCCTGACAGAGTTTTTGGACATTTTCAGATTTTTTACATCTGTCTCTGACACACATCTCAGTATCCACTTTGGGCTGGACTGGACCACCCCCGCTCCCAGAGCCACTCAGTGGCTCCTGCCTGGGGACAGTGGGGGACAGATGGCTGCTGGCACGTGCTGGTTGTTCCTCCTGCAGCTCCAGCAATGTCTGGGCCCTCATTTCGTTTCTTCCTGGCGAGTCCCTGCTGGTTTCCTGGGCTCCCACAACCTCAGCTCTACTGCTGGGGAATGTCACAGGCACAGATCTGAACTCCCCAGGACACCGAGTCCAAGACACTGCAGCAGGGCCCTGTGTGGGGAATTAATGTGTAAGCCCTGCAATCCCTGCCCCGAACCCCGCAGCACCCCAGGATCTGGGGAACAAGGACAGTTATTTCCTCCAGTGCAGGAGGATTCAGTGGAGATGGCCAAGCTCCCCACAGCAGTGCTGGGGACATCTCAGCCTCTGCTCCCTGCAGCGTGGACACACAGACATAGAAGAGCTCTGGGCAGGTGGCATGTCCCAAACCAAAATCCAGTGATTTAGGAATTGTAATTAAGGATGGCCAACAATGAAATAATTTTAGGAACCTCTGGAGGAAGTTGGACATTGACCTAAAGCCAAAAAGCAGAATGCTACTTGCTACAGCTGGGATTTTTTTTTTTTTCATTTTAATCTAAAGATGAACCACCCACAAGCTCAGAGATGATGCCAGGAGAAGCAGGGCAGTGCCAGGCTCTCCGTGGGGCACCTGGTGATGGAGGAGGTCCCATGTGACAAAAGCATTGGCACCATCAGGCTGCACCTCCCTGTCTCAGCACTGTGACCCCACTGTCCTCCCTGGGGCATCCTGTCCAGCCAGCCCCAAACTGATGCCAAAGCCAGACCTGGGATGTCATCAGGTGGAAAAAACTCCTGTCCTCTGCACCCACTGCACCCTCGTGGTGCTGCAGGGAGGGTGCCAGTCCCTGTGGGTGCTGGCAGAGCCCCTGCCCAGGATGGGGGCACAGGGCAGCCCCCCAGAGCAGCCTCAGCACCAGGGCACCCTCAGAAAAGTGTGGAGAGAGATGCTGGAACACGGGCACAGCGGGCTGGGAGCAGCAGAGCCAGATTTTCAGGCTCCTGCCTTTGAACTCGGGTGCTCCGGGGCACCTCTCTCCTCTCTGGAGCTCTCCCTGGATGCCTGGGGGGTCTGACCAGCCCCTCCTCACCACAGGAGTCCATGTGCTGGAGGGGTGAGGGGCCACAAAGCCACCCCACATCCCCCTGTTGTGCCTCAGTTTCCCCACCTCTGGGGGCATTAGAAATGCTTCCTGCGAGTCCTCTCCTGCTTTCCAGGCTGCCTGGGAGTGTGCTGGCACCACTTCCCTGGCACTGGGGGATGCTCCAGCCTCTGGCCCTGGGCCTGCTCCACTCTCTGGCTGGCTCTCCGGGCTGTTTATTTGTTTTTCAGTCTCGGGGTGACTTTTCCTCTGCAGAGACCTTCAGCCCTCCCAGGGGAGATGAAGGCAGCACAACTTCCACCCCCACGCTGCTGCCTGGGCTCTGACCCCGGCCCCTGCTCCAGGGTCAGCCTGGGAACCCACTCACTGCGGGTGGGGCAAGTGTGGGTGTCTGCTCAGAAGAAAATCCCAAACCTGGAGGCTTGGGGAGCTCTAAAGTCCCTGGGGGATATGGAGTCCAGGCAGGGAGCCTGGATGTGTGTTGGTCTGGATGAAGGGCTGGGGATGAGGATGGAAAAGCTGAACTTTCCCATGCCTAGACCTGTAATGCTGACAGAGGGATTTATGTTCTCTTATTGTCCTCTCCCTCCATTGACTGCCTGAATTTCTCCCCAGCTCTGGGGTACCCTGGCCTCTCTGCTGCCTCATCATCATTGCCCAGGGATGTACCAAGGCCAGGGCTAGTGCTTACATACTTTCCTTGATCATTTTCTCTGACAGTTCATTGTTGACAGTTGGAAAACAGAAAATATCTATTTACAGGGGGCATGAAGGCAGAAATATTAAAAAAAAGGAGTCACACTGAATAAAACGGATAACTTTGGGAGCCCCCTGGCACTGGGTGCTCCCCACCATGGCACCCACCATGGCACAGGCTTGGGATGCTCACATGGCTTTGATTGAGCCTCACTGAATCCCCTGGGAGCTGGGGATTTAGGGGAAACCCCAGGACAATGATACTTCCCCTGGAAATGCTGTGTAAGCACCAGCGCCTTCCTGACCTCCCCATTCTCTTCCGACACGTGTGCAGGGACCTGGTCTGGGGCTTGTACACACAGGGTACCACATGTGAAGTGTGTCCTGCAGAGGGTCCCACCATCCCTGGAGTCCCTGGTGTCCCTGTCATGACCCTGGGATGGTGCAGAGTTCCATCTGTGCAGTGTTTGGGTCCGGCTCCATCTGCACCCCCAGCCGGGGAGGTGCCGGTAAATGCAGCTCTGAGGAGCAGCTGGCCAAGGAGGTCCACCCCCAGAGCCTGTTCCTGCAGAGCCAGCAGGAGCCGGGCCCTGCACAGTGAGCAGGCTCCGGCCGTGTCACCGTCCCCAAGGCCACCCGCTGCTGCCCCGGCACCGGGCTGGGACCCCGCGGGCCCGGGGGTGCAGACTGGGGTATAGGGTGGGGTGCAGGATGGGGTGTAGACTGGGGTACAGAATGGGGTGCAGGATGGGGGGGTACAGAATGCGGTGCAGGATGGGGTACAGAATGGGGTACAGGGTAGGATGCAGGCTGGGGTGTAGACTGGGGTGCAGACTGGGGTACAGAGTGGGATGCAGGATGGGGTCCAGAATGGGGTGCAGACTGGGATACAGGGTGGGGTGCAGGATGGGGTGCAGGATGGGGTACAGGGTGGGGTGCAGGGTGGGGTGCAGGGTGGGGTGCAGGGTGGGGTGCAGCATGGGATGCAGGATGGGGTGCAGACTGGGGTGCAGACTGGGGTGCAGACTGGGGTGCAGACTGGGGTGCAGAATGGGGTACAGAATGGGGTGCAGGGTGGGGTGCAGGGTGGGATGCAGGATGGGGTACAGGGTGGGATGCAGGATGGGGTACAGGGTGGGGTGCAGACTGGGGTGCAGGATGGGGTACAGAATGGGGTGCAGGGTGGGGTGCAGGCTGGGGTGTAGACTGGGGTGCAGGCTGGCGTACAGGGTGGGATGCAGGCTGGGGTACAGGGTGGGATGCAGGATGGGGTACAGGGTGGAGTGGCCCGGGACATAAGGACACCGCGCTCCGTGATTCCCACGCGGCCGGGAAATCTCCGGCAGAATCGGCAGCGCCTCCGGCCCCGGGCTGGGCTCAGGCTCCGGCTTGCGGAGCGCGCTGCTGGCTCCAGGCGCTGCTGTCTGCGCTGCCTGTCGGGGCAGGGCCATACCTCCCTGCTGCAGAGCCCCTGTGCTGCTCCGCGTCACCGGCACACAAACCACCGTGGGAATCCCTGGGGACACGGCGCAGTGGGACGGGTGAGCAGGGAGCCTCGGGGTGCCGGGGGCCTTTGGAGCCCAACTAGGGGATGCCGGTTTAAGGGGTCATGACTGGCAAAGCTCTGTTCAGGTTTTGTGCTATCCCATGCCCTGTGGGGTCCCACAAATCAAAGCAACACCAGGGTAAGAAGCTGAAAATCCTGTTAAGGCACACTTTTGGTACAGGGAATTGGGGTCCCCAGCATTCTCCAACAGCCCAAGGACATCCCAGGGTAAGACAATGTCCAGGAGCACAGCTATGTCACCACACCATCACTTCAGTGCCCTGCTGAAGAGTCCCTGCTGCAGCAGCAGCTTTCCAGCCTTTTTTTAAAACTGGGACCCAGCCACATCCATCTGTCTCAGTGTCACTGTCACACAGGCCGAGCTCCCTGTGGCACGGATCCTTCAGGCACAGCCTCATCCATCCCCTGTCCTGCAGGAGAGGCCTGGGGTCCCCACCAGTGCACCAAGTCCTGCACATGTCACTTGCATGAAGGGTGGTGGGGCCCCAGGCAGGGATGTCACCTCCTGCCCTGTCTGAAGTGCCAGGTGATGGCCCTGCCTGTGTCCTGTGCCAGCCCAGGTCTTGTGGTGCCTCTGTCCTGCCCCGGCAAGGGGAAACCAGCGCCAGCACCGGCCTCCCCGGGGCCACTGTCCTCGTCCCCGGGCCGCACAGTGGTGACCTCACTTGCCCGCAGGGATCCCGTTCTCTCCAGCACCTGCCGAGCCAAGGGCCATCTCCATCCGACTCCGGGGAAGCTGCAACTCCCTGGGCTGTCCCACCGGGGCTGTGTCCAGCTGCACCACTGCAGAGAGAAGGCTCCTATCACCCGCTCAGCCAGCGCTGGGACATGGGGCATCCTGAGGGGACTGCGGAGTGGGGCCAGACACCATCCCCTCCCCATCCCACATGCAGGACGGCAAAGGGCCCTGTATCCCTCGGGCCGCCCCAGGCAGAGGGAGGACGTTAGAAAGTCCCTGTCCAGGATACAGAGAGGCCAAACCCAGGGGGCATCCCAGCCAGTGCAGGGGGACATGGGAACATCAACCTGCAGACCCACCCCGGTCCACAGGACCCCCTTTGTGATTCCCCAAACCACTCAGGGATGGGAACCTGCAGCCAGGGACCTCATCCTGGGCTGGGTGCTGCTCCCCGAGCCGCGGTGGCTGCGGTACCTGCTCGGCAGCTGTGCCGGGCGCGCACCTCCTGCATCGCCTGCTGGTTCTTGAAGCGCACGAGCCCCATGGTGATCTCGGCGTTCCAGCCCGGGTCCTCCTGGGCGCAGCGGAAATCTATCTCGAGGCTGTCGTCCATCACCACCGTGAAGTAAATGTGCCGCTCCTTCCACTCCACGCACTCCACGGCCTTCATGCGGGCAAAGCTCAGCTCCTTGCGCCGCGAGCCCTTGGGCTCGAAGAGCTGCAGCCCCTTCTCCGTCAGCAGGCACCGCTTCTTCTTCCAGAGCTGCAGCAGCCCCCCGCTCCGCTTCTCCAGCACCCCCTCCCTCAGCACCTTCTCGGGGGTCATCACGGCTGCTCGGCCCCGGATCCTCAGCACGCTGTGCCGGCCCAGCCGGGCATTCCTCGCCGGGGGAATTCCAGCCGCTCCCCGCCGCACTGAGCTCCCGGGGCCGGGACCCGGGCTGGCCGAGCTCCGCTCCGGCTCTCAGAGGGGCTGAGCCATGGGCTGCCCCATTCCAGCCCGCCAGCCCGTGCCGGGGCTCCCTCCTGCCCAGCCGCGTGTGGGATCCGCGCTCCCAGGAGCTGTCGCTACTTGCCCGGCCGCTCTCCCACTCGCATTCCTGCCGCCTCGCCTGGCCCCTCCTGCTCTCGGCCTCCCTTCACGCCCAGGCGAAGCCCGACCAGGCCCGGCGCGGCCCCGCTTCACCCGGGAGGAGCTTTTGGGGTGCCTGAGGGCAGGCGTAGCCTCAGGGCCTTGGTGTGAACAGGCAGGGTGTGGGATGGGGCTGCACGGCAGCGCTGCAGGGTGTGGGATGGGGCTGCAGGGTGTGGGATGGGGCTGCACAGCAGCGCTGCAGGGTGTGGGATGGGGCTGCAGGGTGTGGGATGGGGCTGCAGGGTGTGGGATGGGGCTGCACGGTGTGGGATGGGGCTGCAGGGTGTGGGATGGGGCTGCAGGGTGTGGGATGGGGCTGCACAGCAGCGCTGCAGGGTGTGGGATGGGGCTGCAGGGTGTGGGATGGGGCTGCACAGCAGCGCTGCAGGGTGTGGGATGGGGCAGGGGCAGGGACAGATGTTGGAGGTACAAGAGAAGCTCTTGGGGGGTGCAGTACCAGGTGCTGGGGGCGCAGCCTCACGGGCACAGGGCTATAGGGTGCAGTGCTAGTGGGGAAAGTGGGCTGTGGGGCACAGGGCCGACTGGGTAGGGGGCTGTGCATAAAATGCCAGGCAGGCAGGGGTACAGAGTGCAGTGCCACCGGGCAAGGGGGGCTGGGGATTGCAGTGCCAGCCAAGAAGGCACAATGGGCTGCAGTGCCAGGGCAAGGGCTTCTGGTGTGCAGTGCCAGCTGGGACAGTAGGCTGTGTGTGCAGCACCAGCCAGGCAGGGGCTCTGGGGACGCCGAGTGCAGCCCAGGAGGAGAGACAAAAGCAGAGAACAGACAGCAGCAATGGGGACAACCCCTGACAGCCGCCCACCCCCCAGCCACTCACCCAAGGGTGCTGGACCACCCCTCAGCACACAGAGCTCCCATCCCTCAAAGCCCCTGCGACGGGGGTTTGAAGCCCCCAGGCTGTCCCACAGCACGGAGCAGCATCCCCCGGCCCGTGTGACCTGTACGGGGAAGGAGCCGTGGAGCGGGGCCGGGACAGCGCAGCCCGCTCCTCCTGCCTGATCCTCCACCCCCTGCAGCCAAACACCGTCTCCTTTCCAGCCCGTCTCGTTCCCGGCCACCGCACACCGTCTGTTCCTGTGCCAGTGCCTGGCACCGAGGGTTCCCCGGGCCGGGCAGGGCTGGGCTGGGCTGCCGGGGGCACATCTGGGGATTGTGCGGGCCGTGGGCTGCCAGGGTGGGTGATGGTCGCAGGTGGCTGAGCAGCTGAACGTGCCCCTGCCAACGCTGGGAGAGTGCGTCCTTCACCCAGGTGAGGTCTGCAATGGGAAAGACCCCCCCGGGAATCTGCTGGGGTCACTGACGGGGGCTGGATCAGCCCCTGGCACGCAGCCCCCAACCCCGCAGAGCCCCCAGCTGGAGTCCCCTCCTGCCCCGCTCCTCCATCCCTGCCGGTCCCTGCCGGGGGCTTTGCCGGCAGCCGCCGTGGCCAGGGGGCAAGTCTGCAGCGCTGATGAGATGCACCTCATTATCCCTCATTAAGAGGGCAGGGCGGCTGGTGGAGCCAGGAACTGGTTCGTGCTCCCTGGGGCCAACCTCGGCACGCTGGCAGAGGTCCCGGGTGTCCCAGGAGACCCGGGCTCCTGACGTCAGGCGGCCCCGGAGGTCACCCCGAGCACCCCAGCGCTTCGGAAGCAGCAGAGCAGCGTGGGTTCCCCTACCAAGGCTGTTTTCCCACGCACGGGTAATGCTGAGCTCCAGGGATGCCGAGCCCTGGGAGCTCGGGGGGAGTGGTTTTGGACTGTCACTGCTCTGGTAAGCTGGGATGTCCGTGGGCAGTTCTGCCTCACCACCCAGCTCCAGCTCCATCCTCAAAGGCTGGGGGAGAGCCAAGGGCTGCCAAGCCCTGCCCGAGGCCCCCGTCCCTCTGCTCCCTGCAGTCACCGCTTCTCCAGCCGAGGTGATGGTCCCGCAGCCCTGTGTGTGATGGAGCTTTGAGAACGTCCTTCTCCACTGCCGTCTCCCCAGCTGTCCATTCCCAGACACACCAGGCAGGGGTCTCACCCTGCCAGGCTGCCCGGGGGCACATGGCACCTCCTGCCCTGCAGCAAAGCCTGCAGGACTCGCTGTGCCAGGCTGTGGGTGAGCCAAGGGCTCTGCTCCATGGCTGCCCATGGCTCATCCCACCCACACGGGGCCCTCGGGGCAGGTCACGGGGCTGCCAGGCTCTGCCCTGCCCCGAGGTGACATTCCCACAGAGCTGGGTGACGGGGTGACATCCCCTCTCACAGCCCCGCCGGCCATGGGGCTTGGAGGCTCCGGTCTGACCCCTCAAGTGGTGCCATCACCTCCAGGCTCCAGGGGGCTTGGCCACAAGCCAGTCCCTGGTTTGTCCCTTCAGGGCAGGCCGCAGCCCCCGAAGGGTGGGAGCTCTGCTGCCTCGATGGGGGAGCTGGACCACACCTGGGCACAGGTGAGCAGACACCTCCGGCTGGGCCCTGCCGTGCTGGCTGATCAGCAGAGGGCAGATGGTCGGAGCTGTCCCACTGCAGCCTGGGCAGGAGATGCCCCAAAAGCACCTCTAGTCCCACCCTGCTTTACCTGGGCCATGTCCCACCACCTCCTCCAGCCCCCCTCGTGCCTCTGTAAGAATGTGCAGCCCCTGTGATCCCATCCTGGTGTCCCCATGGTGGTCCCTGTCACTCCCTAAGCCACTCTGGGTGACCAGTGCAGGGTCAGCAGGTGTGTGGCACCCAGGGCAAACCCTGAGGGTATGGTCCCTGTCCCACGACATGGCTTACCCAGGGGGCTGGGAGCTCAGCAGAGACCCACTAGGCAGGAGAAAAGAGGACTTGGGGAAGCTGAACTTCAGTTTTCCACTGTCTATAGAAGCGTTGTGGAGAAGGGAAACACAGCCCTGCCTGGCAAAAGGGCACAAGACACCAGGCACAGGGGCACAACAGGAAAATCAGGGATTCACAGAATCATTAATGCTGGAAATGCCCTCCCAGGTCACAAGATCATCCATTCCAGCTCCTCCCCCAGCACTGCCACATTCACCACATCACATCCACAGGTCTTTTGAACACTCCCAGGGATGGTGACTCCACCACTGCCCTGGGCAGCTGTGCCAGGGCCCAAACATCCTTTCAGTGGTGAAACAACCCTTTCAAGGGTTGTGTGGCACAATGCTGTGACAAGATCCACAGTGGTGGGACCTCCATCCTCAGAGGGTTCCTGTACCTGAGTGGACACCAAATGCTCTGATCAACCTGAACTTTGGGACCCTGCCTTCAGCAGGAGGTTGCAGTTAAGACTTCTGCTGGTCCCTTCTAACCTACATATTTCCATGGCCCTCCAAAACCAAATCCAGCATTCTCTCCTGGCTTTGACCAGGCCTCCAGAAGAATTGGCCTCTCTGGGGTCCATCACATGTGAAATGTCACTGTCTCATAGAACCATTAACTGGTTTGGGTTGAAAGGTTAAGAACCATCCTGTTCCATCCTCTGCCACAGGCAGGGACATCTCCCACTAGCCCAGCCTGCTCCAAGCCCTGTCCAGCCTGGCCTTGGACGATTCCAGGGATCCAGGGGCAGCCACAGCTTCTCTGGGCACCCTCTGCCAGGGCCTCGCTGCCCTCACAGGGAAGAATTTCTCCCCAGAATTCCATCTATCCCTGCCCTCTGGCAGTTTGAAGCCATTCCCCCTTGTCCTGTCCCTCCAGGCCCTTGTCCAAAGCCCCTCTCCAGCTCTCCTGGAGCCCCTTTAGGCACTGGAAGCGGCTCTGATGTCTCCCTGGAGATTTCTCCAGGTGACATCCCCAACTGTCCCAGCCTGTCTCCAGAGCAGAGGGGCTCCTGCTCCTCCCCTCTCTGACAGAATCTCTACAGCTGCATGAGGAAGGGACTAAATAAAGACTCATTGTAGCTTTACTGACCAACCAGCACTGTCTGGGCACAATCCCATCTGGGGCACATCCAGCTGAGATGCCACATCAGCAGCATAGCATCCCCTGCATGCTCACAGAGAAGGCAGTGGCTTCCTGACCCCTCCATCCCTGCAGCAGCCTCACCTCACACCTCTGCAGCAGCTTCCTGACCCCCCCATCTCTGCAGGGGCTTCCAGAACAAGCTCTCCCCTCAGCAGGGCCTCTGCCAAGCGAGGGAGGCATGTTTGGGTCTCCACACCAGGCTGGCACCTGGGCCCTCTGTGCTGCCTACCTGAGCCTGAGCCGTCTGCCCCCCCAACAAGTGTCACCAGACCCCTCCATCCCAGCCACCACACAGCCCAGAGCAGTGGGTCCTGCTAGAATCTAGAGGGAGGAAGTTTTTTGAGATGGTAAAGACTTAACTCCCCATCTCTGCTTCATGAACACCATGTAAAACTGAGGGTATGATGAACAGGAGAAAGCGCTTATGTTGATAAAGGAGCCCAAGTCCTGCCCCAAAAAGGGATTTCTGCCTCTGTTGTGCTTCTCAGAACACTCTCCATCTCATTTGCTCAACCACAATGTTTATAACTTTAAAAACCCCAGAACTCAATTGCCTGTGGAGTCCCTAAGCTGCGGCGAGGCTGATCCGAGTCTGTCCCACCAGTCCAACAGGAGAATCACAAAAAGGGAGTGAAGAGTTTAGATGAAAACCAATTAAACCTGGGCAGCTGCCAAACTGGAGGCTTAATGATCCACAAGCTGCTAAAAAAGCAGGGAGTAGGTGAAAAACTGTTAATTACTTGGCACTGCTGGGCACGCCTGCTTGGAGAGGTGCCACCTAAAAGCACTGATAGGGATTTTGAGAGCGTGAGCACACATCTGGTGCCACCAACACACCCCAGAAGGGCTGTCCCTGGCCTCCCACATCAACCCCTACTTTTGGAATAGCTATCCCCATTCCTGCAGTCTTCAACAACAGGGCTTGGAGCAACCTGGGCTAGTGGAAGGTGGAACAAGAAGAGCTTTAAGGTCTCCTCCAATCCAAACAATTCCATGCTGATTCTTGGTGGGAGCAGAGGGGGAGCCCAGCCCAGCCCAGCTCATGTGAGCTGCAGAGCTCAGCTGGCCACAGCTGGGCCGTGTCAAACTGCACCGACACATTCCTGCCATTGGGCTTTAATTTCAAGCCAGGACTGCAAACACTTCTCCAGCTCTGGGCACACAGTCCTCAGCCCCAGACAGCGAGTCAGTGGCAGGGCCGGCCCGGGTGAGCTCTGATGTCTCTGATCTTTTATTGCTTGCTCGGTGTCACGGCTGAGCAGGCGGGGCGGGCAATGCAGAGCAGGGCTTGGGCACCGGGACCCCTCTGCAGTGGGAGGGAGCGGCCCCCCTGTGCCACCCGCCCCGGCAGGAGCCCCCAGGGACAAAGCTGGGATGCCCCCAGCTCTGGGGAGGGGCGGGGCAGGGCAGGGCAGGGCAGGAGGGGTGAGTGCTGCGAAGCAGCGGTGGCTGGGGTGCCAGTGGGGCACTCGCTGCGGCGTGGGGCGCGCGGGCAGCGCAGGACGAGCCCCGGGCCAGTGCAGGGCTCGGCCCTGGGGCTCACTGGGAGTGGATCAGTGCCCCGGCGCCCTGCCCAAAGCCAAAGCCCTTGGGACCGAAGTTCTTGGCGTAACAACCTGCAGAGGACGGAAGGGAGACACAGGTGAGGCTGGCACAGGAGCAGGACCTCCCCAAGGGGCACACCCTGCCTGGACAGGACAAAGTTTGCCAGATTTGTTGGGCAAACAGAGGCCCTGGCTCAGCAGAAAATTCTCCAGCTCTGTGGCTGGCTCAGTCCTTCTCTGAAAGCAGCTGCTGGGCCACCCCTTCCCCAACCTCCAAGCCCCTGGGTCCCTTTCACCCCCTCCCCTCAGAGCCCAGGACAAGCCAGCAGGGAAGGCAGGGCTCACCTTTGCAGTAGATCTCCCCATCTTTGTCTGCCAGGGTGGTGGACTCCAGGCTTTTGCCACACTTGGCACAGCGGAAGCAGGACTTGTGCCAGGACTGCGGGACAGAAGCAGAGCCTGGTCAGACCCCAGGGGCAGGACAGCATGGCTCTGGTACCAACCAGGCTCCCTGCCCTGCTTCTGATCCAAAGGGGCTGGCAAAGAGCTCTGAACAGGATAAAAGCTGTTCCCTGGAAAGCACTCCCAGTCCCACAGGGAAAATACAGAGAGGAAACACCAAGTGTGGGCACTGCTCCTGTGCTGATCTGGTTTTGGAGACCTGTTGCCGACACTCCAAGAAGTCATTTGTGCAGTAATTTCAACAATAACTTCTAAGGAGCAGCCCCTCCCTCTTTGGGGACTGCCCTCTCTTAACCAGCAAGATAAATCCCTCCCATTGTCCAGCTGAGACCCACGGCTGGGGTGGCAGCAGGGATGGACAACTGCCCCACACAACCACAGCTCCAAGGAAGGCAGCAAACGGAGAGGAAAAATGCCAAAAGCAGACAGTGTTTAAAAATAACCCCCCATGGTTCCAGCAGTCCCCTGGAGATAAATGAGCTCACAGCCTTCAAGCAGACCTTAAGTAGCCAGAGCTGCTCACTGAGGAATTTAAACAAACACTTGGGAAAACATGAAACCTTTTTTGGAAGAAAATGTGAAATTCATGGGCTGGAGGAGGAGGTACTGGATGGAGACATCCAGCAAACATTAGCACATGAACTACATGCTCTGGAATCCTCTCTGTGTCAACTTTAATGTAATTGCTTCACCAGCCTTGCTTCTCTGTAAACATAGGGGCCAGAAGCTGATCTGGAAGCCCTGATCATGGTTTTAAGGGTAAATTCAGCTTCTGACCCTGGTCTGACCATCAACATGTCCATCACAAGCCAGCTGGGGGGTGATGATGCCAAGGAGCCCTTTCTGTTGACCCCTCTCCTTGTACTGGGGACACACGACAAGCACAAAGCCCCAGGAGGACAGAGCCCAGCCAGGTCAGGGAGTGACACCTCATCACTGGTGAGGCCGTCCCAGCATGGCCACCTGTCCCCATGGCACAAAGTCAAGCAGCCTGGCTTGGTGCCCCTGACAAGCTCTGCATGTCCCTGACCTTGTGGGGAGGGCAGCTCCAGGCAGGGACCTCATCTGTGGTCCCAGGGCTGGCAGGGGAGAAGGGGTCCCCAGGCCTTGCAGAGGAGCTGGGCTGGGACCAGGTCACAGCTCAGGATGCAAAGAACCATGGTGAAGGGGTGACCTGGGCACAGGGAGTGCCAGGGCTGTGACAGTGACTTTCACACCAAACCCTGAGCTGACCCAGCCACCGCCAGAACAGCCCCAGGAATGTTCACCAAACCTATGCCCACAGCTCCAGCATCCTGCCTGACCTGTGGACAATGCTGACCACTGGAATTCATTGCCTGCCCCAAATCCTGGCCACAGCATCCCTGCCTGTGGCACAGAGAGGAGAAAGAGGCACCTTTCAATTAACAGTGACACTGGCCATGGCACATGTCACTACTCACCCTCCCAGCATATCCACAGCAGGATGTCCACTGTGGCCTCTGCTGAGCAGGGCCGTAAATATTTAATATAGAATGTATTTCTCCCCCATCTACAAGTCTGTGAGAGTGCTGGAGCCTGGACAACCTGGCTTCCAGACATGCCAAGATCTCCTTTTGGTGCCAGGCTTCCAGGTGAATCCATTGGACCCAAGGCCAGCCCAGGCTAAGGGCGGGTCCAGGCCCTCTCTGAAGGTGTCCCTGCCATGCAGCACCCTGTGCCCACCATCCCCGTGCCCCGTTCCCACCAGCCCCTCTTACCTTCCCAGCTCCGATGACCTTCTCGGCCGCGTACACGGCCTGGCCACAGCGGGGGCACCCGTCAGCTCCTCCCACCTTCTGGGCCATCCTGGCTGCATTGGGGTTGGGGGGTCGGTGGGGCTGGCCCCTGGGGTGGCAGAGAGCTCATGATCAGGGATGCAAGGTGCATCAGGGAACAACTATGGGATCCCAAATCCCAGCCCAATTTGTAAGTGAAGTTCAGGAGCAATGAGCCCCATGGAAAGCTCAGCCTGGGGGCTGTGTGCTGGGAGAGGGTGGAGAATGTGCTCAGGCAATGGGGACATGTCCCATCCCATCCCATCCCATCCCATCCCATCCCATCCCATCCCATCCCATCCCATCCCATCCCACCCTCCAAACACGGTTCAGTGGGATTCCCTGGAGGGGCAGAGGGGCCAGGCAGCCCATGGACACTGCTGGGAGCTCAGCATAGGCTGCACAGCCACACACCACAGGTGTGGGAGAAGGTGCCCACAGCCCTAGTGTCAAAAACAAGGCTGAAACTCACTCTGCATATTTGATTCCCAGGGACTCGCCCTTGTCGGTGCTCAGGGTCCCTGCTCCCTGCCCGTAGCCGTAGCCCTTGGGGCCGTACTTCTTCCCGTAGCAGGACTTGCAGTAGATCTCCTCACCATGCACCGCCACAGTGGTGCTGTCCAAATTCTTTTTACAGACCACTAGAACAGAGGGGAGGGCGTGACATCAGCCTGCTCCGCCAGAGGGGGAAAACAAGCCCTCACAGGGACAGCAGAGCTCAGCTTTCAAAGAGCAGGGAACGCCTCGCCAGCACCCACCTGCAGGGAGCAAACCGGGCAGATAAGGATCACAACAAGAGCAGTGTCTGGCTTTAAAAGGAAGCAACCACCAAAGCCAACAAGGTTATACCGAGGGAGGGAAAGCTCTCTTAACCCTCTGCTCTTCTGCAGCTGCACTTAAACCATGGGGGTGAATTTTCCCTACGAATCACTGCAGGATTCTCAGGCCTGGGGATGGATGACCTGGCTCCACGCCTTGTCCACTGCAAATCCACAGCAGGAAGCACTCGGGGCAAAGAAATGTGAGCAAATGTGGTTTTCCTGGTGTTTGGATGGGCCAAGAGTCATCCAAGAGCAGCCCCGTGGCCGTCACCACACCTGAGGCACTGCAAGGGCTTCCCACATTGGGCACAGTCACCTCTCCAGAGCTCAAAGGCTCAGGTGACACCTCAGCCCTGGGTTTGGGGTGTGCATGGGGGATCTCAGGTGAGGAACACTAACTCAGCCGGGTGTTTGAGCCCTGGACATCAATGTGGGATGTAAGATGGGACAGGAGGAGATGGCAGCCAGGCTCAGGGGCTCTGCTGAGCCCACCCAGAGCTTGAGCTGGGTGCTAGGCTCAGGCCGTGATTTTTAGGTTTCCATAGTCACAGACTAGTTTGGGATGGAAGGGACCTTCAGTTTGGATTATCTGATTGTAACCCTCTGCCATGGATACTTTCCACTACCCCAGGCTACTCCAAGTCCTATCCAACCTGGTATTGAACACTTCCAAGGATGGAGCAGCCACAGCTCCTCTGGGAAGCAATGCCCCACCACCCTCTGAATGGGCATCACTTTCTTATATCTAATCTAACTTTCTCCCTTATATCTAATCTAGATCGCTCCTCTTTCAGTTTTAAAACATCCCCCCTTGCCCAGTCATTATCTGCCTGTGTAAAAACCCACTCTACCGCTCTTTTATAAACCCCCTTAAGGTCCTGGAAGCACCAGCTCTTGTCCCAGCTCTGCTCACAGCTGCCCTGTTCCTTCCCAGCCCTTCCTAAGACACTGCCCAGCCGGCAGGAGGCCACCAGCACCCAAACTCCGGGTGATGCCCAGTGCCCCGTGCAGGATCCCCCTCCTTGGGCAGAGTCTGCAGCGCTGGCAGCCAGCCCCAAACAGATCTGGCTGCAGCTGCCACAGCTTCCCCATCCTGCTTTCCACGCCTTAAATGTCGAGGCTTCCAGCAGCTTCTTGGCCAGCAGAGCAGTTTCTTGGCCTTTCCCAATATCACAGGAATGCAAACAGAGCAGAGTTCTCCCCTCGGAGCAGCACAAACTGAGCAGGGGCAGAAAGCAGCCCTTCCATGACTAAATACAGCCAGGAGAACCCTGTGTGCCTCTGCTGGGATAAGAAGGGGGAAAGAGAAGCATCTCCTGCCATCTAAGGAGGCTCTGGCAGAGTCCTCTCCTGGCTACATGCTCCCACCACAGCAGGAGCTGGGGATGGAGAACGGATCCCAGCTGGGAGAAACCAGAGCAGGTAACTGGCTCCAAAGCTGCCAAGCTGCTGGGCTGCTGCTGGGGTCTCTGCATTGCCCTGGAGTGACACCACTCAGCCAGACCATCAGGAAGGAATTTGGGCACTTTCACTGGCATTTCAAAGGGTTTTGTTGTGAGCTTTGTCCCGGGGTAGCAGTGAATGGTCTCAGTGGGATCTGGATGGATTTGGAGCTCCACCCCAACCTTTCACAGTCCCTCATCTGTACTCACAGAGTTTTGAGAGGCAACAGAAAAATTTTCTTACCCAGCCCCCAGGTTTGTGCATTGCAGAAATTCCAGTGCACTGCACTCAGGAGTTAAGGACCCTTTGTTTTTCTAAGAGCAGCTGAGCTGCTCTGCAAAACAATTAGACAAGAGCGGCCTCTGCTTTCCAGGGCCACGGGACTCATTCCAGCTCATTTCTGCTGCACTACCCAGGCAGCTGGATCATGGCCAGGAGTCAATCACCAAATTGCTCCCTGAGTTCTAACGCACTGTGGTAGGCTTGGCTCTTTTTAGACGATGTTTTTGGCAGATCTGGTTGAAGTATTTGTTATTCTCCCCTAAAGATAATGGTTTGAAGTTCCCCGATGGGGCCCAAATGCAGCACTGGGGGAACAGGCTGGGAATGCAGGAACTCAGGAGCACCACCCACAGCCTGTGGCACGGACTGGGAACAGTGGGCAGCAGGGCGGGCTGGCACACGAGCCACAGCCTGACTGGAGAGCCACAGCCAGGACAGGCAGAGCTGCTGGGTACACGTGGAGTGGCATAACAAATGCCTGCAAAACACAGGGACAGCAGCCTTGAGCCCAGGACCACTCCCTGGGCACTTGCTGCCATGAACACACACGTGGGACCATCTCCCCCACTCCGGCCGTGTATTCCCACCTGGAAGAATGCCTTTAGCCTCATTTTGTGGCTCCTGGAGGCCTGCCCGGCTCTCTGGGTGCCAGCATCCCATGGCAGCAGCTTTCTCTGGCAAACCAGCTGTGTGCACAAGGGGTGAGGGCAACATTCCCCACCCTCCTTATCTGAGGCCAAACAACAAACAGGATTTCCTTCTGCAGAGCAGCTGCCATACACACCCAGCCAGTCATCCTTGTCCTGCCCAAGAAATGCCTCAACAACTCCCCTGCTGAGCCCTGCCAGCCAAAGCAAGTTTGCAGCCTGGAAACACCCGGGGAGCACAGACTCAGCAGAGCCTCCCTCGCCCCCGTCCCATCTGGAGCCAGCTGTAGGTGCTGAGCCCCAGGCAGGCTGGACAAGAAGGATCCAGCAGCCAGGCTGGGTGGACACAGGGGCATCGCAGGGACCATCCCATGAGGGCACTGGAGTTTCCCTGCTGGAAGAGATCAGTTCCAGAGTGTGTCTTGTTTCCAGATCCCACCTCTGCTTGCTGCCCCTATGGAAAAGATCCCAACTGTGCTCCCTGCTGTGATGGGATGGTGAGACTGGGACCAGGGCACTGGGACCAGCTGAGGAAACATTAAAGGTCAGTGGGGCCCTGCTGCAAGGACACCCTGGAGATGCACTTCTGCTGCTTTGTGGCAGAGGCAATGTCTTGAGGAGCCATCAGCAGACACAGGCAACGTGTGTGCTCCTGTCCACAGAATTCCAGAGAGGTCTGGGTGGGAAGGGACCTAAAACTCATCTTGTCCTACCCCCTGCCATGGGCAGGGACACCTTCCACTGGACCAGGCTGCTCCATGCCCCATCTCCTGTAGGCACAGGAGAATCACTGGTTGTGATATGTGACAGTCTCCAGGGACAGAGGACAGCAGTCTGGAACCACACAGGCTGAGGACACTGCTCAGCTTTTGAATCAAACATCTTGCAGCCCTTCTGGACGTCCCAGGTTTAAGGAGCTGCTCTCAGCACTGCAACACCACCAGCCCTGGGATCCCCAAAGGCAGGGAAGAGTGTCTGGGGACTTGCAGCAGGATCCCAGCACTATTTGTAGGATGCTGCAGAGGGGGCAGAGGAAGGGAGCTCGGCACTGGATCGCTTGCAGCCAGATCCTGTTCTGCTGCCCCTCCCCAGAGGTGACACTTGGGTCCAAACATACACCAGAGACACCCTCACTAATAGTGGATCTGCAGACAGGCTGGGGGTGATGCTTCTGCACTTCTCAGGAGGCTTTCTATCAGCACAAGGGCCAGGACAGGACTACATCTCCTTCCCATCAGCCCCTCAGACATGAGGAGATTCCATGCCAGTTCCCCAGGCTCAACCACCTTTTAGTGTGGCAAAGCCACACTCAAAAAGCTAAAGCCAGCCCCTCCTCTGAGCATTGCATGGGATGTGCCACCTCCTGCTACCACTGCTGGGAGAGGCCCTGCCTCATGCTCCAGTCCTTAACATCTGGACACAGAGCAGAGCACCCAGCCTGGCCTTTCCTTGGAGTAGGGATGGACTAGATCTCTGTGTCGGTGCCAGCTGAGCTCAGCCCGACAGCTTGGACAGCCCATGTGTCCTGGGAGGTTCTGTGCTCCTGCCTCGCTGGGGGATTGAGATCCGAAGGAGCCCTTGCCCAGGGAGCAGAGAGGGGGTCAGGGAGGGGGTGGTACTCACTGCACAAGAAGCAGGACTTGTGGAAGCTGTTGCCTTCACACTGCACCTCCTCAGCGAAGTACACGGCCTTCTGGCACACCCCACACTTCTTCCCTCCTCCCCAGTTTGGCATCCTGCAGGGGAAAGCACAGTCAGGAACAGGGCAGGGCCTTGCGGGGCCGGGATGGGGCAGCTGGAGCAGGCCCTGGAGCTCCAGCACTTTCCCACATCCACACGTGCAGAGAGCACCCACAGGGTCTGCAGGGGGCACAGACTGCAGAATCACGAGAACTCAGGGACCCAGCACCCAGCAGTGCCAGCTGCCTCCCAGGGACCACTGGTCCTGTCTGCCAAAGCAGCAGAAATCCCTGTCCTGGAGCCATGGCACCTCACAGCTCCTGTCAGTGCCAGGAAAAGAGAGGAAGCAGCACAATGCTGGGAGAGAGCAACACCCAGAGTTACCCAGGCACCTCCTCAGGTCACAGCCCTCCTGCCACCCCTGCCATGCTCAGGGTGACTGTGACTGAGCCTCGGTGCTGGACTGACAGCTGCCACACCCTGGACACAGTCCCAGCTTCTCCCTGACCAACTTTTCCATCTCAGCCACTGCAGGGCAGGGGACAGTCAGGGCTGCCCGAGGGCAGGAGCTGGCCCCTGACACCACCAAGCCCCAGGCTCTGGCACATGTCCCACAGCACCATCAGCTCCTGCCTGACCAACCCCTCCCAAACACTCCTGCACTCTGGTATCTCAGTCTCCTCCAGGACTGCAGGCAGAGTCATGGAGCCTGGAGAATCTGAAAACAAGAAGACAGCACAGGGCAAAGACCTGAGCACCAGCCTAAGCCACCATCCAGCTCCTCAGCAGGCTATAAATGCTTCTGTTTCTCTCTATTTCTCTTCTAATTCCTAAACTGTGTCTGAGGAGACACCATCAAGAGCCCCCTAGATTTGCAGATAACTCCAAAATACTGTGAGTTGCTTATATGAGCACCAGCCTAGAGGGGCCTTGACACTTGTGAAGACCAGGTCAACATAAACCTTGAGACATTCACACAACAAAGTCCTGCAAGGAGATTCTGAGGGAGCCAGGCTAATTGAGTATGGCCAAGAGCAATCTAAGGAGGATCAAACAGCAGGAGTTGCTACAAAGACAATAAAACACTTTTAGGAGGGACCAATGATGTAAGCAAGGTCAATAGGCACAAGCTGCAGCTTGAGAGGTCTCCAGGGACCTCCTTCCATCAACACCTCTGGAATTCCCCATCCTGCTCCCATCTGGGGACAGGCAGCAGAAGTCACCATGTGCTTCCTGACCCCTGAACAGCCAAAGCAGCAGGACAAGGTCTCCAAAACCAAACCCCATTTTCAGAGTACAAGATTTGCCAGCCCACCATGTGTGTAGGATCTCATCACCTCTCAGCTCAGTTGTGTGGAACGAGGAAGAGACCTTGGTCTGCCAGGGCATACCAGAAGCCTTGGAGCCCCCCCTTGCAGCAGATCCTGGGTCACCTGGGCAGCTGAAGCCCATCCCTGGGCTTCCAGCCCCAGTGGCTTTCCCAGCTGTGGAGGTGGATGCTAAACCCAGCAGGACTGGGGGTTGCACAAACATCAAACAGAGATGGGGAGCAGAAAGGGCTCACAGGCATAGCAAGATCCCTACACCTCCCAGGCCAAGGGGAACTCAAGATCTTCCCTGTGTGGGAGTATTTTGCCAGGAAAAGGGAAACTCATCCCAGCCTGGTTACCAGGGCAGGGGTCAGGACAGGGGTCAGAACTGACTTGCTGACCCTACTTTATCCTGGCCACAGCTCCCAGATGCCTGGAGGGTCTCAGTGCAGGCCAGGCAGACAGAGAAGGGCAGGAGCAGGGGCTGGAGAGGCTGTGCTGGCTCCCGGGATGCTGGGAGCCGTGCTTGGGGTGTAATCACAGCAGCTGGAAAGTCTCCTTTCCAAAGGCCCTGCAGGCTGGGCTTCCCACTGTGCCAAATCCCTCCTTTCAGCCTGATTCTTCCAGTCCCAGCAGCCTTTGGATTGCCTTACAAGGACACAGGCTGTTTCTCTCCAGTGCCTGTTTATTCCCCTCCATCAGGAGGGGGTTGACCTGCTTCAGGAGTTTCCTTGGAGGGCAGAAACATCCAGCAGCACCCCCTGAGCCCTGCATGGCGTGGAGCACCCCCTGAGCCCTGCATGGCATGGGAGCCCACCAGCCCCTCTAGCCCTGTGTCAGATCCCACAGCAGGAATGACACATCACTGGCTGTGATTCCTCTAGGTCCCCCATCCCTTTCCAACCATCACAGCTGTCAGACCCCATCTCTGGGATTCCCCAGGCCTGGTTTTGGGGGCAGCCTCTTGCCAGCCCTCCCTGCTCCAGAGCCAGAGCATCCACAATTGCACTCCATGGTTTGGGACCAGCTGCTCCCTTTTACCTCCACAGCACATTTTGTTCCCCTCAGAGCAGCAGCAGTGAAGGAAGAGGCTTTGTTTGTCCTGAACATCAAGGCTACCCTGCTCAAACCAAGAGATTAGCAGTGGGGACACCTTCCCCTGAGCTGCTTGGAAGTGTAAAGGAGGAGAAAAACTGCTGCTGGGTGAAGCTCACTTGACATTTGCCACAAGAGGAGTCCAAGCCCTTTTCCTGCTGCTGATTTTCCTCAATCCACCATGGGAAGGCTTCAGGTGCCTCCACTCAGTTTCAATTATGCCAGATGACTTGAGCAGGTGACTCTCACCATGAAGCCCAAACACAGCCCCAGCAAAGCCACATCCCAGCAAAAGCTCCTGGCACACACCAGGACGGATTTTGAGGGAAGAGACCATGGAAATTACTTTGTTCTGGGGATGCATGTGAGGGCTCACAGCTGGACACAGAGAAAACCTGAGATAAGATTTAAGTTGCTGAGAATTCCCTGTTAGTCCAAAACACACTCCCCCACATGCTGTGAGCCGAGCAGGCCAAGCAGAGACCAAATTTGTGCTATAGGCTTTCAGCAACAGCAAAAAGAGAAATAGGAAAACCCTGCTCTAGGTGCCTGGACCAGATCAGCCAAGTCCTCACAACTGCCTTCCAGACAGATCCATCCTCCCAATTCCCTAAGTAATGGCCACTTTAAGATATGTCAGAGTGTTTACAATCCCCTCAGATTATTTTCAGAATACTTTGCATATTTTGTCCAATTGCAACACTTGGTGACCACACTTCTCCAAGTTACTCTGGCCCCATGCAAAATAAGGAACAGGAGGTGACAATCCTGCAGCCAATGACCTCACTGAGCACAGGCAAGGGGCTGCCAAAAAAACCCAAGATTTTTCTCCTTCCTCCTGCAGCTCCACAACTCCTAACAAACATATCCAGAGCCCTACAAACACCACTCTCAGTGCCAAGCAGGGCCACTCCATTATCCATTACAGAAAAGGGAAGAGGCCCCCAAAACCAAGATCCCACCCTTTAGCAGCAGCTGCACTGTGGGGAGCACAGACACAGGGGAGGCTTGTGCAGAACCACCCAAGGCTGACACTTGCTGGAGATTAACCCCAATTCCAGAGTCTGATGTTGCAGCTCTCCAGAAAAGACCAGCTTGGACGGAGCTTGGAGCAACCTGAGGTAGTGGAAGGTGCTGCTGCCTATGGTAGGGGTGGCACTGGGTAACCTTCAAGGTCCCTTCCAACCCAAACCTGTCTGTGGTTCTATAAAATCTGGGCTCAGACTCACGGACGCTTCAGAGGTGCTGTGCTGCACATCTGGGAGGCAGTGTAAGCTACACTGAACAACCAGGCATAAACCAGCATGAAACCAGTATCTACTGGTGCTTTGGGATGCCATCACTGGCTGTAAGGGGAAGCAGTGAGCTGGTGCAGCCATCAGACAGCAGAAACACAGTCATCTTCTTGTTGGAGTGGGATGAAAGGTCAGTGTGCTCCTGACACTGCCCCAGAGCTGACACCCTCCACCTGCTACCCTGAGAGCAGCTGGGTGGGAACTGCTGGAGCTGGATCAGCGCCTGTGGCTGGGTGGATGCAGCTCCATGGCCATGGGAGCACTCAGGGCAGGGCAGGTCCTACCTGTCACTCTGAGGAACATCCCTGCAGCCAACAGGATGTCAGCTCAAGCATCCCACCTTCTGCAATAGCTGGAAAATCTTCCCGTGTCTGTGCCCTACTAAAATCCTACAGTAATTAATTGCAGAGCAATCACTTTGTGTTTGGAGATGACTGAGGAACAGCAGACTCATACTGACCCATATAAAAAGTTCCTTTTTTTCCAAATGAGAGCATTGAAACAAGTGAATGTCAGAAGAGCACCATCAGTACTGCAAAAAAATCACTCCTAAGCCTGTTCACAGCAGTCCAGGCAGAATTAATCCATGCCCTGGCAAAGGGAAGAGTCAAAGAGGAGAAAGCCACAGCAGGAGCCCCACACCCTGGGGTCTAAGTAGTGCCTTCCAGTTTAGAGAGCAGCTGGCATGGCCATAAAATTGGCAGAAATTTGAAACAAGAGGGACCCAGAGAGATGAGACATGGGCAGAGCAGAGAGGAACCAGCTCCCAGGGACACAGCAGGGAACTTCCCTGGGAAAGCCCCAGGACATGGCACCAGGGGTTCAGCATCAGGACCTGCAGTCAGACCCATGGGGGACCCTGCCCCAGGCAACAGGAACTGTCACACAGCAGCTTTCCCAACCCCTGGGCACAGGGGAGAATAGCTCTACAAGGGGTAAGCTAGAACTGTCCCCTTGTCCCCTGCTGTGTCATGAACTGGGAGGAGCAGTAATGTGAGGGACTCTGGGCCACCAACATGTAAAGAAGGATAAGTGAAGGTCATGCGTGAGCCAGTGATGTTGAACTGGTGAGCAAGAGAGTGGGGACCTGAGGCTGGTGATCCCAGAGACATGGAAAACCACTGGGAATTACCAGGAACAAATCACAGAACTGCCCCAGGAGATGCAGCTGGATCACATCAGATGCCTCGAAGGGCTTTGCTAGGATAGGAGGGAAGGAAGTCAGGAGGCTCTGAGCTCAAGAGTGATGCTCACATGTGGCTCATCTACTCTTATGACTCCAGTAGCAATCAGATCATTCTGCCACCAAGGCAGCCTCAGGTTGGCTGTGCAGAGCAGGGGGCTGAGAGAGGCCAGCACACAGCTGAGCCACCAGCCAGACACGCTCTCACAGCCACAGGCCTCTGCCTGCGCACACGGCTCCCGTGTTTGGCTTACAAAGAATTCCCAGAATGACCAGGTGGGAAGAGACCTTCAAGATCATGGAGTGCAATCCATGCCCTAACACCCCAACTAACCCCTGGCACTGAGTGCCACATCCAGTCTCTTTTTAAACACATCCAGGGATGGTAACTCCACCACCTCCCTGGGCAGACCATTCCAATACCTGACAACTCTTTCTGTAAAAATCTTTTCCTAATATCCAACCTATATTTCCCTTGGAGCAGCTTAAGACTGTGTCTCCTTGGAAGCAGGGTCCTCCAAAAAAATCCCAACTTGATCCAGAACAAAAGCAACAGCATTTTCAGGGGTGCTAAGAAAAACTCCTGACTCCCACAGGGATCAAGATCCATCACTGGACTGAGCCCAACTGAGCTTCCCCAAAGCCCTGAAATGCCTCAGGTGGTTGCATTCTCCCCACTTGGTTCTGCCTTCCAGGAGCAGGGAGCTGAGCTCAGATGCTCTCAGGCAGCTCTCAGGCACTGCCATCCTGCCTGGAGAGCCCCTGATCCAGAGGACAGCAGAGGCTGGCACAGAGCCCATGAGCCACTGGAGCAGCAGCAGCCCTGAGCTCCTTGGGAATCCTCCCCGGGGCCCACTGCACCTTGCTAGCCTCACCCCCAGCAGAATAACTGAACATCCTGGGCTGGAATTGATCCACAAGGATCACATTCAACCCTGACCTGCACAGACACCCCAACAATCCCACCCTGGGCATCCCTGAGAGCGCTGTCCAAACACTCCTGGAGCTCTGGCAGCCTTGGGGCTGTGCCCATTCCCTGGGGAGCCTGGGCAGTGCCAGCACCTCTGGGGGAAGGACCTTTCCCTGATGTCCAGCCTGACCCTCCCCTGGCACAGCTCCAGCCATTCTCTCGGGTCCTGCCCCTGCTCAGAGAGCAGAAATCAGAGCTGTCCCTCCGCTGCCCCTCAGGGAGGAAGGTGCAGACCCAGGGGAGCTCTGACCTCAGGCTCCTCTGCTCCAGCAGGACCAGACCAAATAAGCACAGTTGCTCCTTGCAGGGCTTCTCCTCTTACCCTTCCCCAAGCTCTAGAGCCAGGAGGAGCAGCGTCCAAAGCCAGCCTCACCCCTCACACTATTTTAGCACTGGCCCCTTCTCATGCAGGGACAGACAGAAGATCTGATACAGGGACTTGGCAGAATCCGTGGCTTTTGCCCAGTGCTCCTGAACCCCCATCCCACGGGCTGAGGGCTGAGGCTGGAAAGCAGCACCTGGAGCTGTCCTCGAGTCTGCGTCCAGCCTGGTGCACAGCAGTGCAAATCTCCTCTGCGAACTGACCTGAGCCCACATCTGAGCCGCCCCGGGCTCCCTGGAAATGAGCTTTACCGCGTTCGGTGGATCTGATGCAAGAGCGTTGGTTTCCGCATCCCGCCATGTGCGCGGCTGCTCCGGCAGCGGGAGCCGCCTCTGGGGTCCCACCGCTCCTGCTCCAGCCCCGCTGCGACCCGCACCCCCAGGGGATGGAGAGGGATGGAGAGGGATGGAGGCACCCCCAGGGGATGGAGGGAGGGATGGAGAGGGATGGAGGCACCCCCAGGGGATGGAGGGAGGGATGGAGGTTCCGGGCTGGGGGAGCCCCGGGCACGGCACGGGAGGCGGCTCCGCTGCGCTCGGCGGGACCCGGGGCCGCCTCCGTCCCGCACCCACCTGCGGCCGGGCCGGGGACGGTGTCGGGGTCGGTGTCAAATCCGCGGGCGGTGCCGGCGCCGGGGTGGGGGTCGGTGTCAGATGCGGTCAGTGCGGGGCTCGGTGTCAGACCCGGTCAGTGCGGGGCTCGGTGCCGCTGCCGGTGCCGGCGGCCGCTCGGCGCTTTTGTCGCGCCGGGGCAGGGCGGGTCCCGGGGCGGTGACACTGATGTCACGGGGCTGGCCCGGCCCGAGCGGCCCCGACCGCGCCCGGCACCGCCTGACGCTGCCCGGGAGCCCCATCCCAACCCGGGGAAGGATCCTCCCGAGCCGTAAAAGCCCCAGGCTGGTTCCCAGGCGCCTGGAGCACTTCCCAGATGTTTCAGCGCCTTGGTTCTGCTGAACGTTTTCCTCTAAATTAAAAGAGACGTTGCAAGATCGGAGAATGGACAGAGAGCAGCACTGGGGAGAAGGACATGGGGGTGTTGGTGGATGAGAAGCTCAGCGTGCCCCGGCCCCGTGCTCGGGCAGCCCAGAACCCCCCTGTGCTGGGCTGATTCCCCAGCGTGGGCAGCAGGGCAGGGGGGATTCTGCCCCTGTGCTCAGGTGAGAGCCCACCTGCAGAGCTGCCTCCAGCCCTGGGCTCCAGCACAGGAAGGAGCTGGAGCTGCTGGAGCGAGCCCACAGAGCTGCTCTGAGAGCTGGAGCCCCTCAGCTCTGGAGCCAGGCTGGGAGAGCTGGGGGTGTTCATGTGGAGAAGAGGAGGCTCCAGGGAGGCCTTACTGCAGCTTTTCCACAGATAAAAAGGAGTTTGTAAGACTTCAGCAAGAATTGTTGTACAATATGGGCCCTGGCACAGGTGCCCAAAGCAGCTGTGGCTGCCCCTGGATCCCTGGAAGTGTCAAAGGCCAGGGTGATTGGGGCTTTGTGTAACCTGGCGTGATGGAAGGTGTCTCTGGCAGGACAGGTGGGACAAGACAGGCTTTGAGGTCCCTTCCAACCAAACCCAGGCTGAGATTATGAGTCTCTCATAACAAATTGCAGAGCAAGGGAGTGAGGAGAGACTCTCTGGCAATGGCTCCCATGGGAACCCAACACAACAGTCCTGCTCAGGGTGCAGACAGATGCACAGCCCCAAACTGCACGGGAAAGGCCACAGAGGTGTTGGGGAAACACTCCCAGCACAGCTGGAAGACAGGTGGGAGTCTGGCTCCCTGTGAAGGGAGAGCTCTGAGAAGCAAAGAGGCCAAAGCAGTGCAGGAGCAGAGGCACTGCCGCTCTTCCCTGACGTCCCACACACCCTCTGTACCCTCACACATGTCCCTCTGAGCCCAAACAATCCCAGAGCAGCCTACAGAGATGTGGGAATCCAGGGCTTCCCTCTGGCTGCCCTGGTGGGCCTTCCACCCTGGCAGGGGTCGGGAACCCCCCTGTACAGAGCCCTGAGAGACACTGTCTCTGATCTCTGTCCATGGAAAAGTGTTTTCCATCTTACAGGATGAATTATAAGCTCTGAGTGTTTGATATAAGTAATAATTAAGTGTGATATGGGTGCAAAAGCAAAATTTTCGGATTCTAGATTAGGGGTCCAAAGGGGACAAGATGGAGGAAATTGGGTGTGTCTTGTCCTTTTTCTCCTTCTTCATGCCCTCCATGTGTCACTGTGGTGTTGGCATTTTTCTGTTGGTTTAGGCTGGGGACACACTGTCCAACGTAGGTGACAGATATTGGCACGTTATTGTAAATCCAGCACAGGTAGTTTGTGGTATTTAATGTTTGTAACATCCCACTGAGGGCAGAGCCCCACACGCTGCCCTGCAGGACAGAGCTGCGGCAGGGCAGCAGAACATGTTAGAGATAAACAGAATAAACAACCTTGAAACAGCACAGACGAATTATGGCTTCTGCTTTGGCAGTGGGGCAGAAAGACAGAGACTTTCTACAATCTCAGAATCACCAATACCTGCAGATTCTGACACAGAAAGTGTGGCTGCAGGGCTGCAAAGCTGCTTTTCCCTTTTCCTGCATGTTTCTATGCCAGGGCAGTACAGGAGCCCAGGAAGGCCCAGGAGCTTGTGACAAACAATTCAAAGGCTCCAGGGGATGCTGTTTACACCCTGAAAGGCCAAGGGTGGTCCATGTGTAGGCCCTGCAGCCTGACCCCACCCTGAATGCTCTGTCTGGTTGCTGCTCTGTGCTCAGAGCCCCAGCAGGACCCCACATCCCAGCTGGAGTTTGGCTGTCCCCTCACCTGCTCATCCCTGATGGATTTTTTGCAGCTTGCTGGGGTGCAAACTCTGGTTCTGCATCCCCTTGGGAAACAGTTTCCTGAATCTGTCCCCCCCTGGCACTCCCCTGTGCTTGTGGAGGAGAGCAGGGATGGGAGTGAGACACGCTCCCTGATCCCAGCAAAGCCCACACAGGCTCAGGAACCAGGTGGCACCAGACAGGGAAAGGATCTTTCCTTTCTTAGGCATTTTTAGTGCCCTGGAAGATTCCAAGAAGATTCCAGCCATCAGTTCCTGGACCTGGAGGTCAGCAAAAGGCTGCCACTTCCAGGAGCAGCTGCACAGGAAGCTCCTGGAGGGGAAGTCGGGAGAATGGAACTGTTTTGCTGGTGGCTAAATGGCTTCCCACCCTGAGCTGCTGCCCTGGTAGCCCCTGGGGCATCTGTGCTCCATGAGGATCTGCCAGCCCTTGCAGCAAGTGAGGCTGGAGAGGAGCTGGATGCTCCACTGCTCCTGCTGGCAGTGGCCATGGACAGGATTGCCAAGGGAGGCCAGGATGCCATTGGCAAAGGCAATTTCTCTGGCCTGGGCTGGCCTTTTTCTCCTTGATAAATGGAAGAGGGTGCTGAAGAACAGGCAGCTGATACGAGGAGGCTGATGGCCACTCTCTGGGGCTTAGCGACCCTTCATCCACCACAGCTCACTGGAGGCAGGCATTCTGCTGGCAGGAGCTGGGGAGCCCAGGCTGCTGGAGCTGCTGGGATTGTGCAACTGAAACTGGCAGGAAGGGAGGAGGATTGGGAGGGCAGCAGGCTTTGGACCTGGAAAGCTTTGGCACCAGATTCCACAGGGATTTTGCTGTGAACTCTGGGCTAAGAAATTCCTGGCACAACTGGAGGCCATTTCCTCTTGTCCTGTTGCCTCCCACTCGGGAGAACAGCCAGACCTCCACCTGGTTCCAACCGCCTATCGGGGAGTTGTAGAAAATGAGAAGGTTCCCCTGAGCCTCTCTCTGCTCCAGGCTGAGCCCCCTCAGCTCCCCCAGTCACTCCCGGTGCTCCAGACCCTTCGCCAGCTCCGTTCCCTTCCCTGGACATGCTCCAGCCCCTCAATGTCTCTCTTGCCATAAGGGCCCCCAAAGTGCCTCCAGGACTGAAGGTGCCTCAGCAGTGGCAGCACAGAGGGACGGGCACTGGTCCTGCTGGCTACACCATGGCTGCTACAAGCCAGGATGCCACTGGCCTCCTTGCCCACTTGCACACTGACCATTCATGTTAAGCAGCTGTCAACCAAAACATCACCCCCTGCAGCTGCTCCTGGCTTGTAAGATAAGCATGTATTCTATTGCCATCTGTTGGAGGTTGGGCAGTTTTCTTATCTCTTTCAAGAACAATGTCTCCCTTGGGGAGATATCTTCTGTTAATGGGCCATTGAACGACTCACTGCATGACTGGGAAAGTTCCATCAGCCCATTGTGAGATGCTCCACCCAGAGGGAGGAGCCAAGCATTCTTACCTGCATAAAATCAGCACTTTTTGAGACACTGGCAGCCACTTTGCTGGATTCCCAGAGGAGCAGCTTCTCTGCTGGATTCCCAGAGGAAGATCAGGCCCAACTACTACCAGACCTTCAGAGCAAACTCCACCCTTCTAGAGATCACCGCTTCAGCAGCATTTCATCTGCCACTCCAGGAGGAGCAGACACCATTTTAACTGGACTACTACCAACACCCTGACTCCTCAGGGTGTCAGGTTTCTGACTCCATCACTAGTTTCATTTGTACTAATTACATTTTTTTTTTAATTTAGTTTTTTTTTTCCTAGTAAAGAACTGTTATTCCTATTCCTATATCTTTGCCTGAGAGCCTTTTTTAAAATTGTGGTAATTCGGAGGGAGGGGGTGTACCTTTTCCATTTCACAGGAGGCTTTGCCTTCCTTCACAGACTCCTGTCTTTTCAAACCAAGACAGGGACCCAGGCTGGAGCAGGAGGGCATGAAGGACTGACCCTGAGGAAGAGTGACCCACATGGCAGCAGGTTGTGGAGAGCTGTGTGCAGTGGGATGCACTCCGGTTCGAGAAGTTCCCAGAGAACAGTCTTCTGTGGCAGGGACCCCCATGCTGGAGCAGGGCAGGGATTCTGGCTCCTCTCCCTGAGCAGCAGCAACAAGGTGGGATGAACTGACCAGAACCCAAATTCCCATTTCCCTGTGCCACTGGAGGGGGGATGAGGGAGACTTTGGGAAGGAGGGAGGGCTGGGGGAAAAGGGGCTATGAGATTTGTTTGGTTTCTCATGATCCTGCCCTGATGCTGGGAGTAGTCAATTCAGTTGATATCCAAAAACTGAGGCAGTTTTGCCTGCAACGGTCAAGGGGGAGGGATGTCTCCCTGTCCTTATCTCAACCCAGGGACCCTTGGTTCTATTTTCTCTGCCCTGTTCGGGTACAGAGGGCACGGACAGAGCTGCTTTGGTGGGTACCTGATGTTTGACCAGGGTCAACCTACTGCACACCTCCAGGCCTGGTGAGTCCACAACCTCTCTGGACAACCTGGCCCAATGCCCAGCCACACTTCAAGGCAAGAATTTCTTCCCAAGACCTCACTGAAACCTGTCCTCCCTCAGCTTCAGACAATTCTCTCTGTCCTGTCCCTGAAGGCCGTGGGGAAAAGTCCCTCTGCAGCCTTCTGGTGGCCCTCTCCTGGTGGGTACTGGGAGGCTGCTGGGATGTGTCCCCTCACTTCTGCAGGTTCTTTCCTCAAGTCCCACCAGTTGGTTATCGGGGACACAGCAGAGTGTAGGAGCTTTGGCAGCCTGAGGCCCGGTTGTCAAGGAGCAGAGCAATGGAAGCCTCCTGCTGCAGGTGACATCATAAAGGCCAGAGCCGGAGGAAGCTGAGGCATCTTCAGGGGCACAGCCAACAGGAGGCAAGCACAGCGTGGCCTTTCCTCATGTTTCCTGTCG